GCTTTCCCCTGCCATGTTCGCAAGCGGCCTCACGACGGATCCAACCACTGAGAACTCGTGTTATTCGCCCGGTAGGGTTGTCACAAACTTCGGGGAGACAATCACATGCGCGGGCACTCGGGGCGCCTCGGGAACTGGACCGTTCAAGTTCATCGAAACCCTGGCAAACGGCGATGTGAGGTTTGACAGGCACAGTGAGTATTCGGGCGGAGAGCCTCACATTGAGCAGATCATCCTCAAGAAGTACGATAGCCACTCAGAGGTGATGGCTGCTCTTTTGGACGGAAGCCTCGATGCGGTCATGGGCGCTGGCGTACTTGAGCCAGAGGACTTCCACACCCTCAGCACAACGCACGCTTTCCAATTCCAGATGTTTCTAGGCCCACCCATTATGAACCGTGTGATCATCATGAATGCGGCCAAAGCTCCAACCGACAACCTGAACCTTCGGAAGACCATTATGCACGCAGTGAACAAGGCAGAAATCATTGACAAGGAGCTTTACGGAATGGCAGCGCCAGTTGACGCGCTCTTCCCCAAGAACTTGCCGTACTGCGACGTCGATCTCACCCCCCGCTGGGACTACGATCGGGAGAAGGCATCTTGCCGGTCACCTGTGCCTTTCCGTTTTCCCTTTTCCTCCGAAGTTTCGAGCTTTGAGAAGTTTAGGGTTTAGGAAGTTTAGGAAGTTTAGGGTCTAGGGCTAGGGTTCCCTCCGCGATCGCGAAGCCAGGCAGAGCTACTTTGGTGCTCGGCAGCCGAAGAATCGAGCGGCGGCGTGACGGTGACTGGACTCTCCTTGCATGTTTTTTGTGTCTCATGTCTGCACGCATGTTGTTCCAAAGGTAGATAGGAGGACGGTCTTGAGCAGTCTTCCTTTCAGAGTATAGGTGACGGTGCTGGTCATTGTAATTGTCGTCGCTGTTGTTGCCGTGGTCGTCGTGGCCTTCTTCTTGTTCAAGCTTGGAAAGAAGCAGGGAGCGGATGAGCAGAAGCTGCTGCACGCAAAGGCAGCAGGTGAACCTCCAGCTGGGCAGATGGGCAAGGTAGATGAGGCTGCAGTCTGAATTAATTTGCGCTGTTAGTTTGCTGTGCAGAAAGCTGCCACAGCTGCGAAGTCATGGAGCATCTGCAGTCAACTACTGACCGCAGGCTGCATGCATCACCAGGATTTTAAGCCAGATGATGGTGGATGATGTCCCATCTGCTCTGGCCTACCGAGGGGAAGAAGTTCAGAACCAGAAGCACGGGACCGGACATAGGGGGTGTTTGTAGGGTTTAGGGTTTAGGTTTTGGAAGCCAGGTTTAAAGAAGATTCACGTGGCAACAGGGGGACACCCCGTCGGGTCCAAGGGGCGTGCAAAGAGTGTTTTTCTCTGCTCGCAGAGTATCTGTCCGAGGAGGGAACATGCTCTGTGATTGTGCTTGCCGTGCTTCGAGACCTCCAACTTCAACATGTAGCGTTGGCGCGGTAGCAACAAAGCACGAGACTGCTCCCAGGAGAAGCCCCGCACCCGCTGCCGCCGGCGCCAGCACCTAGAGGTTTCGGTTCGTTGGTTTGACGGATTAGTTTTCGGCTCGTTTTGGAAAATGGGCCTTTGGGACAAGATTGGGAGGGTGTTTGCGGGGTGTCAGATGGGGAAGGTGGTGGTCGTGCATGGTGGCTGGAGTTGCAACCTTCTCTTCTTGGCACCAGTTGTGGTGTAGCCGTTCCAGGCAAGATGATGGCGTTCTACATTTCCGATTGCCAATTGGGCAGACCAGAGGTGTGGGGCCTCAGTGGGTGGGTGCGTCTTCTCTCCTTCTTACTGTTCGGTTTGTAAGGTCTTGAGTGCCGTAATGTTGGTTGGCATGATCTCTTTTGGCAACCGTTTTGAGCACCAGTATGCACTGGGAGGTTTGACGCTTGTGTCCATGTTCTGGAACCACAGCACACCCTTAAGGTGCAGGGCAAGCCATCTGGGATTCCAAATCTAAATGAAACCCTAAACCCTAAACCCCTGAACCCTAAACCCCTAAACCCTAAACCCTAAACCTAAACCCCTAAACCCTAAGGAAGTGCTTGCGTGTATGATGTTTGGAGACAGGTGTTCTTTGTAGCAGAGCTCGGCTGCATCATCGCTTGAGTGGCTTGTCCTTAAATGCTCGGCTGGGGTACTTGGAGGTTCATGGGTA